CTGTATAGTGAAAACCATCAATTAACAACTGCGGATGTGCCCAGAAAAAGTTGACGGTAGACTCTAAGTTCCTGTATTTGACGTAAAATCCAAATAAAAAGAAGTTGCACAAATTCTCAAATGTATCCGTTGATATTTGAAAATAATTGAACATATTGCTTGTTCATGAGCAATTCCACAGTTGTACACTGAGAGCATTCAACGCATGTACCACTTTTGCATTAGTATTATTCTGTGGCAAGTACAATCACCCTATATGCCCTGGGAAGTCGAAAAAAAAAATGCAATTGAACATATTTGAAAATCAAGGTGTCCCGCAGTTATGTGATGAAAATTCAAATTTCATTCACAAGGTTAGTTAGGTTAGTTACGGCAGTATAAAAACAAATATAATCTACCTAGCCCGGGGCAAATTAATCACCGGGGTAAAATGGATCATAATGCCTTCCAATTTTCCAACGGCGCCGGTGGTGTAGTGGTAAGCGTGATTACCTCTCACCCCAGCAGGCCTGGGTTCAATACCAGTCGGCGCCGCCTGGATGTTCTGAGGCATAACATCTCTGATCACGCCTTCCTTCGGTTTCACGCTTACCACTACACCACCGGCGCCGTTGAACTCTAACGATTGTTTTGATAAGTTTTTCTTTTGTTTACAAAAAGCAGTACAAATTTAGAGCTGTTAGTGGGTATTTGATATAATAGTAATGACTCTAGTGACTATAATAACGAAAACAGCTATCAGTGACTTTAAAGTAATAAAAAAGTGACCAATCAGAAAGATATGGTTCTAATCTTTCGTTGATTGTGACCCACTTCGAAAAATTCTATAAACTAACACCAAGGCTATCGCATTACCGCTCAATGCGCGAAGTGTACCAATTTTTTGGGATCCAACATGAGCATTATTCATGTTTCTTTAAAAAAAAAACAAGTTGTTTAAGGAGTCCATACATTTTTTCACGGAAAATCAGTATTAAATGAACATCGCCAAATGGACACATTTTGATAATTTTGAGACAATAAATTTAAAAGATCTAGGATACATAAACTTCTGTAACACTTCAAAAATATATGAACATGAACATAACTCTGGGACCTAGAGAACTAAGAAAAAATCACATTATTATGGAACGAGGAAAATTTTCCAAGATGGAAAGATCTAGGACACAGAAAATGTAGCATGCATCTTTGACTTAAAATCTCGATCTTGAAAAAAACATGAGGTTCCGGGACAAATTTTAGAGATTTTGGACCATATTTTTTAATGCTGGTACATTGGCTAGGACTTAACAATTCAAGATCTCTAAAACATACACAATAAGAAAATTGTACACTCTGAAATAAGTTTCGATATGTTGAACATAAAGAATGTAAGTTCACAGTCCTTGTAAAATTTAAAATGCTTCTGAAACTTAGAAAACGTTGGAAGTTGTTCTAAAATCTGGACTACAAAGTATGGAAAATTTGATTTAATGGACTTAGAAAAGAACTCAAGATTCTCTTCTCTTGAAACATTTTCCAGACCATTTTTCGACATCTTAGCAAATATCATAAATTAACAATATAGTTCACTCTTCTATAATCCCCAAGACATGATTTTTCTCGTCACTAGCGGCACTAGTTACACGAAAGGTGGCTAGTACATTATGAATTGAGCGCCTCGCAGTTGACAGCTCAATATCAACAAGGCTATCAAAAACAACTCACAGATGAGTAAAATTTTATTCAGCATGTAATATGAAAAATTAACCGTTTAAAATTTTATTACAATTTTATTCAAACTGAAGGTTATGGCAAAACAAAATACAATGGAGTCGCTTTTTACGCGTTTTTTTACACGGATTTTTTACGAGGTTTTTTTTATGCGGATTTCGGAGTTAAGGCGTTTTTTTACGCGGATTTCGGAATTTACGCGGTTTATAGTTATACACTGGAGTCACGTTTTACGCGTTTTTACACCGTTTTTTTTACGCGTATTTCGGAATTTACGCGGTTTGTTTTTACGCGGATTGTTTCTACGCGGATTGTTTTCACGCGGATTTCGGAATTTACGCGGTTTTTTCACACAACTCCAGTGTATAATATGTAATAATATGAAAAACAAGATTAGTCTAATAATAGTAATATTTAAACTGAGAACCGGCCAAATAACCACTACAGAAGCGTTAAAAGCCTACACACTATTTGAAAAATACTCAAAATTGGGAAGAGTCTACCCAATTCGGTTAAACCTGAACCTACCCAAACATGGGTAAACCTGTATTTATGTTAGTTGTTTTCAATTGAGGATATGTTTGCTTCCTCATGTTTTTAGATTTTTGTGTTTATTGTATGTTTATTGGAAAAACGAAAAAAAAAATCATCAGATTTTTTACTTATTATTGAGTATGTTCATATATTCGCAAAATTGGGTAAAATAAACGTGAATGCTTTTACCCAACAGAGCACTATTACCCGCATTATTTATAATTTTAGGTAATTTTTACTAATGCGTTGCGTACTTTTTTCTAACCGTGTATGACCTATGACGTATTGACGTGTGATAGAGAAAACTAGTAACTAGAGCAACATATACATTATGTATGTATGTATGGACACTGTCATAAAGACATTTTAGTAATTTGTGTAGTATAATCTAATCTAATCTAATACAACCGCAGCCAGTACGAGAAAGCATCCTGGAAAAATCATTAGGTTAGGTAAGACCTAATCATTTTTCTTGTCAAGTGAGAATAATTTTCGTGTTCTTAGATGCCGACAGGGTGTGTAGAAGTTTAATTGTGAAAGTATTTCTGATGATTCTATGCGATGTGAAATAATGTCATTGATGAAGATAATCCGTCATGCCGAAGCCGGTACCGTGTTGACGAAAAAGAACAAACACGATAGGCCCGACGGTGCCTGTGTAACTACTTCGACCGAGAAAAGAAAACAAATTCAGAAAAATAATCTGTGTTCGACTTCCGCTGTCAAGCTCTAGAGAGAACGCGTCTGCTTTGCTCGTAAGTTAAGCGCTAACTGACATTTAATAATTTCACATAACCGTACTTCCAAATCTTTCTCATTCATCTTCAAGATGCGCATGGATTTCGTTATATTAGAAAATATTTTCTAAAAGGGGGCTGACAAAATCGGGTCATTACTGTATTCGGACCCGACGCTCTTCTCAAAACTTCAAAAAATTTGTGATAAATCTAAATCTTTTAATATCAATTTTTGGGGATGGCATACAAAAAAAATGGAAATTTTATAAGCTAAACTGGAAAAAATTTGGTAGATAACGGACTTGAATGTCTAGTTCACGGAGTCGAAAAAAAAAATCAGACTTACGCTGATTTTTAATAAAAATATTATTTTTTTTTTCACCAAACCAATCCGTGATTTGATGTAATTTTTTTATTGCAAATTTTTCACCCTCAATATTGGTCAAAAAAGTGACATTAGTGACTACATTTTGCTTGTTAGTGACTGTGAGGAAAATAGTGACCTAGTTACTAAAAAGTGACTTTCAACCAGCCCTACAAATTTCCAATGGCTTCACCTTAACCTCAATCCACCTGTGCACCAACTCTCAAAACATAAACAATTATCAACATATTGCTTAAAATGGATGAATATCGAAACTAGAAGCTTATGTGCATTGTACAACTAATTCGAGTATTAAATCTGGGTTTCAAAGTTAGTGCACAGGTAAAAAGTAAGGTTGCGCAACGCCACTGCAAATTTCAATTTAATGCAGCTGACGTTCAATAGCATATTTACACAATGAGTATTCAAACAAACGTAAATATAGCTGCAGCGATTGTTGTCATTAGCTTTTAAAGTGGCATTTTTGACTAACAGAAGTGCTAATTAATCAGAATAGTATAATAAATAACGGTAAATTATATCAGTATCAAGAAATCAATGGATTAAATTACAATAAATTTAGGCGCAACTGTGTATTTTGTGTAGGATTTTAGCATCTGATTCGGATTCAGAGAATGAAAATTTACAAAGAAAATGCACTGGGAAGCTATCAATTTCATCTCATTTCAACATTTTTAAATTGGAAATTTTAAAAATGTCTTAAAAATAAACTAAACATACCATATGATAAGCAGAGGTGCGAGAAGTGGGTGGGACATGTCCTACGCAGTAAAATACCTGGATGGGACAGTCAAAGCTTTGTCCCACCCAAGATTTTATAGAGAACATCGTTAAAAAACTAAATTAATCCAATGATAAAATCTTATCCTTCTCTCTAATAGGAATTCCGACTAAAGTACGATGAGATAAGCTAGATGAATTCTCATGTGATGATGGATTTTGTCCCTTAACTAGAAACTGGGGCCGGGTGTTTCCGGAATATGGCCGGATGTGGACAGTATAGTCCTGTGATCTTATTATTATTATTGAACTGGTTTTATAAATCTCATGCCTTTTGATGTGTCACATGATGAATTTTATTCATTTCACGCCGAATGAAGTTTCATGACATTTACAAACCACATTTAAAAACCACATTTACATTGGTATTTACAAAATATTCAAAAAGTTCTATGAGACCATAGTATTTTATCCCACCCATATCTTTGAAGGTGGACGCGCTTCTGATAATAAGTAAACATAAGAGTTTTCACCTTATTTTAATACGATTAGTATAGTAAGTCTATTATAGTAAGAATATAATTTTTTCCGATTTTACGTTAAGCAGTGTTCATTTTGCCCCCGGTTTACGGTTGTTGTTGTTGTTTCTTTATTTAGGACACTTTCAGCTCAAGGCTGGTTCATCTCCGGCGTCGGTTTACAGTACATTCATTCAAAACAATATTTACTACTCATCTGATATTAAAACGATGCCTGATTGATCACTTCTCAGACTTAAAGTGTTGATCATCCTTCACACGTAAGATAAACGTGGATGATTATCAGCGCCGTAATTATGACGATTTAAACAAACGAATAATCATGAACGCTATAGGTACGTGTGTAGAAATCACAAGCGATATAACACCTACCTGAGAATCGAACTCGAAGAACGCTTCGGGGCGAAAGGGACAAGGAAGACCACATTTGCATGTGCCGCCGCTCAGGAGATACTCCTTGACTTGATTGAAATTCCGAAGTGCTGCACCGGAAGGACTGAAAACAAAAGAAAAGAGGGTTGTTATTTAATTGTTTGATATTTCAAAATAGGGGAAATGACGGCTTCGGCATGACAGACTATTTTCGGCAACACAAATTGAAACACTATTTTCACTGGATTTTCTTACGAAAACACTTCGCTGAATGCAAGCAAACGATTCTTTATGCTTTCAGCTTCAATTTGACTATATTTTTACCACTGAGAAAAAGCAATCTAGCAGGGTTTTCTTGAAATGAAACACACGCTCTACAAATTGTAGCTGATTTCGAGTTGCCGATAATAGAACAGCAGATTTACATGCAGTTCAAATGGAACGGTTGCCGAAGAAAAACTGGTTGCCGACAATACTCGCTCTCACTAGAGAAGATTGGAGCTTTGTAAAAGCGTTTCAAAACAGTTTTTGACAGTTCTTTCGACTGAAATTGTTAGAGCAGCTGGCAGTAAAAGATTGTAAACAAACCAATACTGCATATGTGTGCGTTCCTTAGAGAAAAAGGCTATAGAAAGAAGGTCGCTGCTTAGGTTGCCGAGAATACGTAAATTCCCCTACGTAAGTAATTATGTGTGAGATGTTCAATCATTCACCGAGGCCTCTGTCAGGATTTAGAGGAATCATACGCCTTACATGAAACTGGCATTCTGCAAACTCTGTACGCTGGTGCTCAGTGTTCGGAAAAACACAAAAACTCATATCTCATGCATGCGTTTATGCGCTTATGAGTTTTGCCTTCCAAAAATCAACGTCGCAAAAATCCCCGATGAGTTTTCAAAAATTCATTTCTTTATATGTCGGCGCTATTAATTGTTAATTGATTATGCATCAGGGATTGGAAAACAAACACAATATGCATGAGCATGCTATCAATTGACGTTTGAGTGGTTTTTATGAGTTTAAAGCTGGAATGATTTTTTGCGTGGTGAGTGTGAGAGCGTGAATGTGCACGAGCATGTCAAGCGTAAAAATAAGGTTTTATTTATGCTCTACATAAAAAAAAACAGCGGGCATACAATATCGAACATAAATTTTAAAGAATAGATTTATACACAAATGTAGCCCAAATGTCACCGAGTCGTTAGAATAAAAAGTAAATTTTTCTAGTTCACCTAGCTTTTAGCCTCCCGCCTTCCGTAAATTTATATAAACAAAGATTTCTAATATACACTATATGTTTCAAAGATGAGTCTTTTTTGAACTCTTTAATAATTTTCTGATCTTCCACGAAATGCCTTATACTTACTAGCGATTCCCTAAATAAGGTTTTGTTGACTACTTTTATGTTTTCAAAAATTTCTGAGGTTTCTTGAATTTTGTTTAGATTCTCTGAACAGCTCTAAAATACCCTGAACTTTACTGAGGTTTCCTAAATTTCCTAGAATTAACACGACTTTTTCTGAGGTTCCCTAATCATAGTAAAAAAATTCAATGAATTATCTCGATTCACAAATTATTTTTATAAGTTTTCTTAACTTTTCTGAAGAAACCTACTCTGTGGTTCATTTGACCTTCTCTTAACTTACCCTTGGGTTTACTGAGGTTCCCTTCAAACCAGTGGCGTTTCCTTAACCTCAATCTACCTGTGCACCAACTCTCAAAACATAAACAATTATCAAAATATTGCTTGCAATGGATAGATATCGAGTAAACTAGAAGATTAAATGTATTTTTCAACCGATTTAAGTATGCAGATGGCATTAAATCTACTTTTGAAAGTTGGTGTACAGGTAAAAAGTGAGGTTACTCGATGCTACTGCTTCAAACATTTCCGACGAGTCATCCTGATATTCCAAAAGATTTCTGAAACTCTCCGAAACATCTTTGAGGTGAGTTCTTTACATATTCCAGAAACTACAATAATTTATTTCTGAATTTTGCTAAATAGCACCGAAATCCACTGATCTCCTTTGAAATTCTGAGACGGTCAGGGGGCTTATGAAAATATGTGAAGCTAGATCTTCTGAAAGGTTCAACGAATACAGATAGGTTCAATGAACTTCGAAAATCTTAGAAGTGCTTAAGAGAGGATCGTAATGGTTATTTCTTATCAACTGGTGTATTTGGATTTTAATTTCATCATGACAAAGTTATAAGCGTTCATAACCTAACACTTTTTCGTGACGGTCGCAATTTTAGATTTTCGATTTACCCTCGGTACCTACCCGTAAGACGTAGTCTACGTCAAAAGAAAGGATCTATAAACTTCAGACTTTGGAAAGGTTCAGAGAGCTTCAATGATGTTCAACGAGCTTCAGGCACGTGCATACATCATAATCGGAGTTCAGGGAACTGATAAGGTCATGGAAGTTCTGAGAGAGAGGCTTCATAGTTTTGAAGGATTCAACTACTCAAACACATTCTGAGAACTAAAGAAACGGGAAATGGATATTACTTTACTTTACTTTATATTTATTAGGAGCAGGGAAAAGCCCTTTGAGTGGAGCTAACTTCAAAGCTATTTTTTTCTCAAAGGCATAAAACCTCATCTTTTCGCATCAACAAAACAGCACATTCCAAATGATACAGTATTAACTTGAGACTTAACAAAAAATCACCTTATTATATTTCTTACAAATACCTATCTTTTACAAACTGAGCACTTCACGGATCCTATTTGTATTAATTGAACTCGACAGATGAAAGTCGAAGACATCGTAACAACGATTGAATACGCGACAAATACTACTAATAGGCGCATTATGGTCATACTTAGTACAGAATGTCGAAATGAATTGGTGAGTAGGAAGGGTACGACGATGAATATCAAAACTCAACTCACATAACACTGCAAGTTCGAAACAGCGGCGCCGGTGGTGTAGTGGTAATCGTGATTACCTCTCCCAGCAGGCCTGGGTTCAATCCCAGTCGACGCCGCCGAGGGAAGTAAAGCCGTTGGTCCCCGGTTCATGAGTTGATGGGTCGATAGGTAGGGTCCAGGTGTGGGAGCTGCCTCCCTGGAGCAGGTAGCATTGGTGATCAGCACGGAAAACAAGATCGACGGAAAAAAAAACAAGGAAAAAAATAACACTGCAAGACAATCTATATGAGATTGAACAACATCCGGTATGAAAGAAGTTTTAGTAACATTCCTACGAACCTCCAGAAGGTCAAGGTCAATACGTTTACAACGATCTTCATATATAGGGAGGTTATATGGATCATTCCAAGGCAAACGTCGAAGAGTAAAGCGAATAAACTTATCTTGGATAGGTTCTACTCGCTGTATGCTGTTCTGGTAGTAAGGAGCCCACACCAAAACTGCATACTCCAATGTAGAGCAAACTAAGGAATCAGGGTCTTCAAACAGTGAATATCCGAGAATTATTTTGCAGCACGAAAAATAAAGGCCCCAAGCATTTAGAAGTTTTGGAGGTTGTATATCCTACAGGGTCTTAAAAACTTAGATTCGAATCTAAGAAAACACCCAAATCTTTAGATTCTCTCTTTAGAGATGTTCCGACAATAGTGTAATCAAATGAATGGACGGAGCGTTTACGTCCAGAGGAAATTACTAAGCATTCGTTGGAATTCAAAGTTATACGATTAGATGCGCACCATTTGGAAAAGAGGTCAAGGTCTTTCTGAAGGAAATGGGCATATTTTTGACATGTTATTACATAATAGCGTTTGAAGCCATCGGCATACAAGAGCTTAACTTTGCAGCACTATGGTGACGTCATTCAGGTACAGCAAGAATAAGGTCCACTATGACTGCCGTGTGAAACATCAGATGTGACGTGGAATATTTCTGATATAGTATTACCTATTTTGACCGACATTGAACGACTAACCAGATAAGATCAATCCAGTTGCCAATCTAGCAACGAACCAGAGAAACCAAGACGTTCAAGCTTTGCTATCAAGATTTTATGGTTAATTGTATCGAAAGTAGCTGAAAAATCATTATAGATTGCATCGATCTGCTTGTGAGCTTCTATAGTCTTGATGACATGTATGGAACCAGATTGGTGCAGTTCCGAGATATGCGGGTGATTCCAAAAACACTGATCTTAATAAATGAGAGCTTTCAAGGATTTCATTACTTTATGTGGGCGACAGAGGCATCTCGTAGTTAAAAGTGCTACCTGTTCTACAAGTTTCATGTTTTAAAAAAGAAACGCGCTAAAAAAAGTCAATTGATTTTTTTATCGTATGGGCAAAGCTAGGAAATATAATCAAAAGGATATATAATCAACATACATTAAATACAAATGAGAAAAAAACATTCAGGAGCACATGAGTTTAACAACATTCAATATGCATAGACATATGTACTTAGATTATTTTACAAGAGGGGATTTTTTTAATAGGTTTGGGACGAAGGGCCTTCGATTTCTATGAAACTTCGCCCATAGGTAACTAAAGTAAATTTCAAAAAGATCAGGGTTGTTAATTTTTCCGAAAAACCTTAGTTAAAGTTTTCCGATTTTCTCGGACACTACCAACTTCAAAAAAGAACTTATGAACCAAGCATGGCACATACAGCCAAAGTCAATTAACAAAAATTACTTGTAATTTTGTCAGCTATTGATCCAGTTGGAAACAAATTGATCATGAAAGTTTTCAACATTAAAGAAAATCCAAAAGAAGAGCTGTGGAAATTATCTTCTATATCATGGATTTAGACGGATGGAAACAATGTTTTCATGTTTGGACATTTATAAGCTTTTTTTCGGTGAACATTTCAAGATGGTATCTTATACCGTTTTTGAGATATGCTCGAAAAACTGATGTTCGGTCTAGCGCTCTTCTAAAAAAAAAACAAATTGTTCTTTCTCCTCGCACACCGTCCGTACGCGTAGCAGCTTAAATACCTACCTACCCATCTTTATCATAATAAAATCAAATTAAATTATGAAAATCAAGGGACCGACCTAGTTGAAATGTCTAAGTCAAACGATCTGGTCGACATTATGAAACAGATCGTTCGGGTGATAGTCGCCACTATCTATACCTAATAACGCCGTTAAAACCCGTTTTTAGGTATAGACGCATTTCGCG